AGCAGAAGGGGTCAAGTATAAAGCCAGAGTTGTTGCAAGAGGCTTCAACCAAAGAGAGGGAGTGGACTACAATGAGATCTTCTCACCTGTGGTCAGACATACTTCCATTCGCGTGTTACTAGCAATAGTTGCACATCAGAACCTGGAGCTCGAGCAACTTGATGTGAAGACAGCTTTTCTACATGGAGAGTTAGAAGAAGAGATATACATGACTCAGCCGGATGGTTTCCAAGTTCCAGGGAAGGAAAGTCACGTTTGCAAGTTGAAGAAGTCCTTATACGGACTTAAGCAGTCCCCAAGGCAGTGGTACAAAAGATTTGACAGCTATATGGTGAAGTTGGGCTACACTCGGAGCCCATACGATTGTTGTGTCTACTACAATAGGCTCAAGGATGATTCATTCATCTACTTGGTGCTTTATGTAGATGATATGTTGATAGCTGCAAAGCAGAAGTATGACGTTCAGAAGCTGAAGGGTTTACTCAATGCTGAGTTTGAGATGAAGGATTTGGGAGCCGCTCGAAAGATTTTAGGGATGGAGATCATTAGAGATAGAGAGAAAAGGAAACTTTTCTTGTCACAAAGAGGCTACATTCAGAAGGTCTTGACAAGGTTTGGCATGTCTTCATCTAAGCCTATTGACACCCCCAGTGCTGCCAATATCCATCTCACTGCCATGTTCGCTCCACAGTCAGAAGAAGAGAAGGAGTATATGTCACGAGTCCCTTGTGCTAGTGCTGTAGGAAGTTTGATGTATGCTATGGTCTGTACAAGGCCAGACTTAGCACATGCAGTAAGTGTAGTTAGCAAATTCATGGGACAACCAGGGAGAGAACATTGGCAGGCTGTGAAGAGGATTTTCCGGTACCTTAGGGGTACATCTGACGTTGGTCTCATTTATGGAGGTGATACTCAGTGTTTGGTTACAGGATATTCTGATTCTGACTATGCTGGAGATGTTGACACGAGAAGATCGATGACTGGCTATGTGTTTACTCTTGGAGGTTCTTGTTAGTTGGAAGGCAACTTTGCAACCTACAGTGACTTTGTCAACTACGGAAGCAGAGTACATGGCCTTGACAGAAGCTGCAAAAGAGGGAATTTGGTTGAAAGGGCTGGTTAGTGATCTTGGTCTGCATCATGATAAGGCCACAGTGTATTGTGACAGTTTGAGCGCGATTTGTTTAGCCAAGGATCAAGTTCATCATGAGAGAACCAAGCATATTGACGTGAGGTATCATTTCATGAGGAGTGAGAGGAGAATCCAAGTGAAGAAAGTAGGAACTGCTGATAATCCTGCTGATATGTTCACAAAGCCGGTTCCACAAAGCAAGTTTCAACACTGTTTGGACTTGCTTAACATCAGAAGCTTTTAGTAGCCCTGCGGGGAAATTCTGAGGAAGAGGGGGAGGCCTGGCACAACCAAAGTGCGTCTGAATCTGAAGAATCTGTACGGAGAATTCAAGTCAAGGTGGAGATTTGTTGTAATGCCTTGAATCTGACTCGTTGCAACTTCCGGAGAAGTCGAGAAATCCGACTTCCGGAGAAGTCAAGAAATCCGAATCCTGAGAGGTCCGAATCCTGAGATGTCCGAACCCCATTCTAATTGGGCTGTTTAATTATCTGTTAATTTTGTAGTTTTGGGCCTAAGTCTGTTAGGGTTTCGCCAAGCACTATTTATATGGGTGCTACCACAAACCCTATGTGTGGTATTCTGTGTTCTGTTCTTGCCTCTCCATCAGAAATAAAACTGCTCCCCCTCTTCCCCCCGTGGACTAGCCAACACAACGTTGGTGAACCACGTTAAATCTGTTGTCGCGTTTTCTCGTTTATATTTTCTCTTATTCTTGAATTCCGCACAACAAAATTAATTGTTAGTTTTACCACTCTTTTCTATAAAAACACTAATTGTTATTTAGAAAAATAGATCTTATTAAAAAACACTTATTATTAATACTGTTATTTATTTTAAACAATTAATTAGTGATTTTACTGCTGTACTTTTTTATAAAAATACCACTAGTTATTATTATTACTTCATATTTTATCCATCTTATTCTTTTCTCAAATCCTCTTGTTTTCTCGATTTACCGTGACACCACTACCAATGACGACTACAAATGACTAATGTGTGGCTAGTGCAAAAGACATCGGATGCCAATCCTAAATTCTCAACCAAAAGCTCAAGCTTGTGGTTGTGGCCCAGGATGAGTTATTTATATTCTAACACGCCCCCTCACGTGCAGGCATAGTTTTTTTCGAGCCTTGCACGTGAAACTTTAATTTTCTTAAAACTGGGTGGCGTTGAGTTTCGAACATGTGACCTCTTAGTCAACAAGGCTCTGATACCATGTTAAAATTCTGGTGGGCCGAGAACAACGGATAGAGTGTCGGGTAAAATTAACCACTTTGTTAAATATTTTGTATATTTAATATCTTTCATACATGGTAGATTTCCTTTTGTATAGGGTTTCCTTGTTTATATCCTACCATAGATAGGAGTCTTGTACCTTTGTATATATACGGAGCTTGACTCCACAAGATCAATATAGAAAACAATAATTCTTCATGGTATCAAAGCCTCTTTCTGAGACCTAAACCCTAACGCCGTTTTTTCCCTTCTTCGGCGTCCCTCTCTCTCGGCCAGCTCCATCTCTGCGGCAGCAGCCTCTCTCTCTCACCGCCGTCTCTCCAGCGACGGTCAACACCACAACGCCGTCTCTCCTTCCCCCTGACGCCGCCCTAGCCGTGCGTCCCTCTCCCTCGGCGACAGACTTCCCAGCGCCACAACGCCCCAACGCCGCCACCATGACAGAGAAAAACCCTACCCCTGAGAAATCTGCCACCACGCCACCATCCACTCCTCACTTGGCGTTTACCACCATCTCTAACGTGAAGCTTCACGTCCCGATCCTCTTGAGTTTCTCCGAGCCAAATTATAAAAAGTGGAGCCGGTTGTTTCTCCTCTTGGTTCGACGCTTCTCCCTCGGTGATTTTCTCACCGGTAAATCAGTTCCCTCCGGCACCGACGACACCGAATGGTACCAACTTGATGCACTCATTCAAGGGTGGATTCTCTCCACAATTAATGACGAGGTTTCTGATCTTGTCCTCTCCTCTACCGATTCGGCGACGGAACTTTGGAAATCTATTCACTCTCTCTTCCACGACAACAAGCCTGCCCGGGCTATGCAATTGGAGCACCAATTCCAGACGACGACGAAAGGGTCACTCACCATGTCGGCCTACTGTCAAGCCCTCAGAAACTTAGCCGACTGGTTGGACGACGTCGATGCCCCAGTTTCCGAACAACAACTCGTGCTACAGGTTCTTCGGGGGCTTCCGGATGACATACGAAGCCAAACGTCCTTCCTCCAGTTTCAAACGCCGCCCCCGACGTTTCTCCAAACCCGATCAGCACTCCTTCTCATAGAGCGACAACGGATGGATCTGGGCAGCGATGATCACTCCTCCGGCACGGCCCTTCTCTCGGCCAGCAACCCTACCATCGGAGGCCGCGGACCCCACAGCACCAGCAGCGGCCGAGGACAGCAGCAGCATAGCGGCGGCAGTGGTCGTGGCCGTGGCAGTCACCGAAGCCGCGGTCGAGGTCGAAGCCCCAGATTAAATCC